GCACTTGGGATCTCATTCAGCTTCAGTGGACCCTGGGGCTTGGCTGGGAATGTCTTGGTATGGTTGCACATGTCACAGGTGCTTATGTACTTATTGACAAATTTAGACATCCCAGGCCACCAGTAGTTCCACAATATGAACTTGAGGGTTTTGGCACAACCATCATGACCGGCAATCAGCGAGTCGTGGTGGATCTTGACAATATCCCACCAGAGCTCTGTGTTCTTTGGGATGTATATGCACCCATGCATCAAAAAAAGCCCTTGCTTGGCATTCCACTCCTCAAAACCTTTCTGCAGCTGAGGTGGCCCTAGGTCCCACACCTTTTCAAGTGCCTCAGCCATGGCCTGATCCTTGTCCGAACACTCTCTGATGCGCTTTAGGAGTGACTGATCAGCAGTTACTGAAGCATGCCCACACTGTGTGGAGGCGATGTGGAAGCACTTCTGTTTGAGGACAATCTGATCAGTGTTGTCATCCTCATCGCTGACCTGATGGTCTGATTGGCACGACAGGGCATCAACCTTCCCATTCGATGTTCCGGCCTTATGCATGATGCAGAAATTGAAGTAAGCCAGGAACAGCGACCATCACACTTGACGGCATGTGAGGTGCTGAGATGTGCACCAGTATTTGAGGTTATTATGATTGGTCATGATCTTGAACTGATTGGGCAGTCCCTCGAGGTAGTGGTGCCATTTGTCTAATGCTTCGATGATCACAAGCATTTGCTTATCGTAGATCTTGTAGTTGCACTGGGCGGGGTCCATAGCATGGGATCTGAAGGCAACTGGATGCCATTTGCCGTCATCATGCTTCTGCATCAACACACCACCAGTGGTGTATCCTGAAGCATCAACCTCAATGCATGTTTCCCGATTAGGGTCATACAGTGCTAAGACCAGGGTTGTGGCGAAGAGCCGCTTGAGCTCATCAAAGGTGTACTGCTCCTCTTCACCCCAATGCCATGGATCATTCCCTGTGAGTCGGTTGAGTGGTCGTGAGATCTTAGTGAAGTCCTTAATGAAGTGGTGGTAAAAGTTGGAGAACCCCCGGAACTTTTGAACATTTTTTTTGTTCTGAGATACTGGTCACTCATTAATTCCTTTTAGCTTTGCAGGATCCATTGCTACCTCATCGCCACCAAACACATAGCCGACATAGTCGACCTTGGAAACATCCCATTCACACTTTTCCGGCTTCAGGAGGAGATCATTATCCTGAAGGCATTGCAGAACCTCACATGTGACTCTTTCGTGCTCCTCCTTATTGGTGGAGAAGACAAGTATGTTATCCAGGTACACGAGGATCTTTCCGCCAATGATGAGATCATGGAAGATGACATTCATTATTGTCTGGAAAGTCGTGGGGGAATTGGTAAGACCAAAGAACATTACCAGGGGTTCATATAGTTCCCGGTTAGTCACAAAGGCAGCCTTCCACTTGTCACCAGCTTTGATCCAGACATTGTTGTATCCCCATCTGATGTCGAACTTCGTGAAGAGCATAGCATCTCAGAGCTTATCTACCATCTTGGCAATCAGCGGCAGCAGATAGCAATTCTTGATGGTGATCATGTTCAGCTGACAATAGTCCTGTATGGGTCGAAGTGTTCCTTCCTTCTTTTTGATGAAGAAGAAGGGGGACAAAATGGGTGACTTTGATTCCCGTATGTAACCCTTCACCAGTTGCTCCTTTAGGAATTTATCCAGCTCCTCCTGCTCATTGTTTGACAGTGGATACACTTTTGAGTGGAACATCGAGTAGCCATGTACAAGTTCAATCACATGATCATATGGCTTCCTTTTGGGTAGCCATTCTGATGCTTCCCTGGAGAAGACTTTCAGAAACTTGTGGTACTGCTTAGGCACTGATTTCTCAGCGGTTTTAATGACTTTCTTCTTGATCTCTTCCTCAGTGAACCGCTGGGAATACATGTGTCCTGCTGCGATAAACAACTGAGGAGCACTGGGAAGCGTGATACCTTGCTCCCAGGCCTTGATCAAGTTGGCCTCCATCCACTCAATCTCCTCCGGATCATTTTTGGGTTCGAAGTCCAGATGTACCTTACTCTGGCATGTGCCTATGACCATTTGGACTTTGGCGAACACCTGTGCACCATGTGCCTACCCCCATATCACATGCAGTTGCTGCTTGCTCCATTTGGCCAGTTTTTCTGGCACTGCACATTTCAGGGCATCATGACAGCTTGAACGAGCCTGTCTCCCAATTAATTTCAGGCTTGTGCTCGTGTAGCCAATCCAACCCAACAATCATATCCTCTGGACCTATGTCCATGACCGTGAATACTGTTTTCTCGATATGGTCTCCTATTTGCATTTCGAGAACGGCTACCTCCGAGATACTACCATCTTTGTTTAGGGTGCCATCAATGTTATACAGCAGAATCAGCTCCTTGAGCTTCCGTGTCTGCACCTTATTCTCTGTGATGAATCACTTGTTAATAAACTTTGTGGTGGCCTTGCTGTCCACCATAGCGATTATGTCCTTTTGCTGCCTTTTGCCCTTGAGTCGAACTGGAATGTGAAAATGCTGGGACCCATGATCCAATTCATACACATTTGTGGAAGACAATACATTGTATTTGTTACATGATACTTGTGGCCCGACACGTGCAGCATGAAGTGTGGACCGGATCAACAACCCTCCTTCTTCATTGCCCGGTAGTGTTCGAGTTCTTCATGCATTGACTTCACCTGTGCCATCAAGGCTGCTAGTGTTTCAGATTTCTCTAAACTTTCTGAAGTGGCACTTGTACTTGCTGAGGGTAATGTCATGACGGGGGCACTTGTTGCGGCCTGAGTGGAACTCGAGGCAACCGTAGCCTGCGCATCGGCGCATTTTGTGTAAGGCTTGTCCTTACAGTTGGGGCACTTGAAATGTCGATACCCTTGCTTCCTGCAGCCAAAGCAACTGCCGGGGAAGTCTCCTTTTCCGATGGCCACATTGATGCTGGCTGAAGCTCCTTACGACCGGGGCGCACCACCATGGGCTCTGCCGGGTCCACCTCCTTGAGCTGAGAAGAAACTGTTCAACTTGGGCCGACAGGCCCAACTGATGTTGAGTATTTGCTTGACAGCTGTGGCACACTTGTCAGCGGCTTCCCACATAGCAAATGTCTCAAGCTCGATCTTCTAGTAGACCCAGGACAGGATTCCGCTCAGGTACTTGTCGTGGAGTTCCAGGTCTCCATACCTGGAACAGTCCGCCGGACCCTTGAATAGTATGGAAAACTCCGCAGCAGTGCACCTTTCATGCATGGATTTGTCAGTGCAGAGTTTGGTGAGCTCTACTTGTGCAGACACCATGTCATCAAGGTTGCCGAAGCGGCCCTTGAATGCCATGAGGAAAGCCTTGACGTCGGTGAACAGTGTTACGGCCCCTTGTACTCCAACTGCAATGGACGCAAGTTGGGCGAAAATGGGGGTGGCCCAGGTGCATGCATTGCCATTGAGCAGGCTTAGTGCTACCTGCACCTTGAGCTCAATGGTGGAGAAAGTGGTGTTGATTTGCCAATAGATGAGCAACTGCAAGAGGAACTGGTTGCACTTGACGATGGTTTTCCCATCATATCGTAAGGGAAGGAGGAGCTTCAGTGTTTTCTTGTCGGAAGGGGACACTGGGGATGACATTACTGGCGATGAGGGGGACAGAGGACTGCCTGAGGGCAAAGGTGGTGAGTGTGACTGTCCACTAGGCAAACTTCAGGAGGAGCAAGTACACGAGTGGCCTCGCAGTGGCGATGATGGTGGAGGCACTGGAAAGAGCCTGGTGGGGGTGTGATGTATGTTAGTGACTGCAGACATGGAGGGGATCAAAATTGGCGAGGCAGGCCAAGCAGCAATGAGGGGCTTGGAGTCCTGGATTCCTTCTTCACTCTCTTTAGACTCTGACTCTGATGCAGGGTTTGAAGGGAGATCGGGGTCTCCTCGTGTTTAACTCGGACCAGTGACCGGCTGGGGTATGTGGGAGCTAGGGGAGACAGGGCGGGAGTGACAAGAGGTCAATTGGGATACGAGGGTGCTGCGAGGGCCCTTTGGATCACCTTGTAGCATTGGTGATCCTTCTCAATGGATTGGGGGGCTCAGTTGGGGCACGGCTGCTGCTCGCAGGTAAGGAGAAGGGAAGGGGGGCCTTCTGTAATGTGGACATCGACAAGGTCCTGTGAGTCAAAGGTGTGGATACAGCTGTGACAGTGAGCCATGATGGGGGGTAGGAGTGGGAGGTGCATGTGCTATGAAAGGCCGTGCTATCTAGCTTACACCTAGGGTTCGCGATTCACGTGGGGCCCAGTACTGCTTTTGGCTAGTATGCAGCAGGAACCTAGTTCACACGTCCAGTAGGACAAACACTGCCCACTGAAGTGCAGGTGTTGAAAGGTTCGTTCCCTAAGTGATGGCAATGTATGTAGGCCATCTACATATGGTATGGTATAGTAGGGTGTGCACCACCCGACCTGTTGGCAGTGTGAAATGAAGGGGTGTGAGTGAACACTGGCAGTGATGAAGAGTTTCGACCTAATGTCATAACTTGAGGTCAAGTAACAGGGGAAAACCTAAAAGCTGGGGGTGTTCAACTGGGTCTCACCAAAGCAATGGTGAGCAATGCTCAAACCTAAGGCTAGGGACAAGTAAGTTAGTATTTAAAAGATAAGTAAGTACATGGGCTTACTGACCTAGGGACAAGATGAAACATTTGTCTTTCCGTTCTATTCCTTGTACTACTAGCACCCATACTAGCGCCTGTCTTAGCGCTCACCCGCAGGTTGAACATTATGTAGCTTACATAATGGGGTCCGTGCGCACTTCGTGCCTGGTATCGTACCACTACGTTTCTTTCTTCACTAACACGACCATATAGACACGATGGTCCGTGCGCAGTCGGTACTTGTATAAGTAGTTGTACCACTAGTCGGTCGAACCCTAAGTTCGACCTGGTTATTCATTCAAGTCTCTGCTCCTCTTCGCTTGGGGTAGTGGTCATTCTCGACTTCCTCGCTCGATCTTCAGGACGACGCACTGTCCATAAGTCCTCGCTCGTCATCTACGAGTCAGGCATCAATATAGGAGTGTAGACCGTTGTATCACAAGAGGTCAAAACTGAGGTCCCTAGGGCAGCAGAGGCTGGCTTATATACAGGGGGAGTTTAGGGGAGGCTGTGCACGCTGGTCTGTATGCAGCTGGTCTGTGTATAGCATGCTGATGTGGCCCTGGGAGCCAATGAGTCAGAGCGGCTGTGTCAGCGGGGCCCGAGCTGTGCCACGTGCTGCCACCCATCTAATCTAATCATACAGTAGATAACGACATGTCCGTTCAAGCATATAGTACTAAGGTCGCGGGTTCAAGCCCACAAAAAGTAAAAAATAAAAAATGGGTAGACACTGTACCAACTCATAATAGCACCAGAGACCAAAAAGGAGTACCATGCCCGCAACAGAGCAATGGCAGCAGACAGACAGAAATCAAGCTTGGCATCAATTTCAAGACCAACAAGGAAGACCTACATAGTGTTTGTGTTACAATGGTCTATACTCCTATATCGATGCCTGACTCGTAGGCAACGAGCGAGGACTTATGGACAGTGCATTGTCCTGAAGATCGAGCGAGGAAGTCGAGAATGACCACTACCCCAAGCGAAGAGGAGCAGAGACTTGAATGAATAACCAGGTCGAACTTAGGGTTCGACCGACTAGTGGTACAACTACTTATACAAGTACCGACTGCGCACGGACCATCGTGTCTATGTGGTCGTGTTAGTGAAGAAAGAAACGTAGTGGTACGATACCAGGTATGAAGTGCGCACGGACCCCATTATGTAAGCTACATAATGTTCAACCTGTGGGTGAGCGCTAAGACAGGCGCTAGTATGGGCGCTAGTAATACAAGGAATAGAACGGAAAGACAAATGTTTCATTACCCCCCTGCCAGAGTCGAAGTCCCATTCGACTACTTACTGCTCACCATCTCCATACAACTCCCAGTCTACGCCGTCATCCTCCTCTTCGTCGAACCACTCCTTGCGCGCATTCCTCCCCACGTTCATCCATTCCTCACCAGAGAGGTGCTTCTGATGCGGCCAGGAGCTGTCCCACGTCCATTGAGTGGTGTCGGGTGTCCAGTCGGGATCGACTTTGCGAAAGACGACGGGTGTATCGGGGTGGGGATGCGAGGGTCCCGCGACGGGGCTGGCCGGGGGTTCGGGGTTAGCGCTACACGGCGGAGGGATGGGTATCGCCTTTGTCTGCCTCTCTCTTTCCTTCCTCTCCTTCGCCTCGTTGATGATTCCTTCAAGGAACATGTTGTCGATGACCACCCCCACGCGTTGCGCAGGTTCTTCAGGTGGTGCGGATACGTGTCGCTTCATCGGCCTGGTTCCGCACTTTCGCTCCAGGTGTCCAGGGGCTTCTTTTCCGCATCCTGCGCATCGTACGTCCGAACAGTCCCGTACCCAGTGTCGAGATGATCCGCATCGCCTGCAGCTTCCCTTCGGGGTCCAACCAGGGTTGGGTTGCCAGTCAGCCGGGATGGTAGTGCTCTGCGGCGTTGCTTGGAGGAAAGGGGATGGGATCGGGGGGCGCCTGAAGGCAGACGTCGGTAGGGGTGCGGGTAGGGGTAAGTACGCGTTGGGGATGGCGCGCGGGATGAATTTGTTGTGTCGCGCCCGGATGCTGTGCGGTAGGAGCGGGTTGAAAGCGATGGGCAACTTTCAGATTGTCGAGCCGGATGAGCTCGGTGAGGACGCGGTCATCTTGTTGGCGTAGGAGCTGCTTGTGGTGGTCGATGGCCTCGTCGGCTGCCTTGACAGCCTCGTCGTATTCGCGGCGGGCGGAGAGGTATGCTTCTAGTGCAGCGTGGTCGGTGGCATTGGTTGCCTCGGGGTTGTGGGTTTTGAGCTTGTTGAAAATGTCAGTGGGATTACTGAGAAGGAGCGTCAGCAAGGTGCTGTCGCCAACGTGGGTGTGCTTAGGGGTGTAGATTGAGATCCTTTTCCCGCCTTCGGTCAAAGGGGCGTTGAACTGGTCGAGGAACGGGAGGGTGGAAGACATGTTGATGCGAGTGGGGACGTAGCGACTGGGTAGAGCTGCTATTGATTCAGCTCAAGTCCTTCCTGTTCTTATACTCTGCCAGCACTTTGTCCGCCATCCCAGTCAGGTTCGCTTCAGGCTCCCATGAGTCATCGGCTGTTGAGTAACCCTTCCACCTGACGCGATATTCCCGGCGTCGCATCCTCTTGTTTTCTTGGTGTCCGATGATGGCTTTGACTTCGTAGTTATCTTCGCCCTCGATAAGGTCAGGAGGTGGCCTCGTGTAGTTCGGACCATGGATCTCCGTTTCTGAATAAGGGGATAGAAGCCATTCGTGGAAAACGGGGTGGACTCGCCAGGTGCTAGGGAGGTCTAGCTTGTACACGACTGTTCCAATTTTGTCTAGGACTTTGAACGGTTCTTCTCGCCTCGGGGCTAGTTTCCTGGATGGGTACGGCAGCTTCAAGTTCCGGGAGTCTAGCCATACCAGCTGACCTTTATGGAAGGAACCCCCCTTCCTTTTTACTCTCTTGGCCAGGACGTTCTGGGCCATCTCCATTGCCGCATGTGCTTCCTCGCAGATGTTTTGCAAGTCCTTGAGGCGATAAGCCGCTTGCAGTGTGTTTGATCTGGGGTGCGCAGTGGGTATTCCACGAGGTTCGTATCCCATCATGAGTTTGAACGGGGACGTCTTCGTCGTGGAGTGCTCGCGGGAGTTGTGAGCAAATTGGGCGGTGTGAAGATGGTCAGCCCACTTATCCGGATCATTGGCGGTGAAGCAGCGGAGGTAGATCTCCAGCTCTTGGTTTACTCGCTCTGTCTCGCCGTCAGTCTGTGGGTGGAATGCTGTACTCATGGCTGATTGAACCCCAGTCATTTTGCAAAGTTCCTGGAAGACTTTGGACGCAAATTGCGGTCCTCGGTCACTGATGATCTTGTCTGGGAGTCCAAACCACTTGTAGACCTCTCGGTACATTGCATCTGCCGTCCCAAGAGCATCAATTGTTTTGTTGCATGGGATGAAAATTACCCCCTTTGTAAGGTCGTGGTCCACTACGACCAAAATGGAATCAAAGCCATTGGACGGTGGCAAGTCCGTGATGTAATCGCACGAGAATGTGCTGAAGGGCTTGGCATTTGCACGGGGCCGAATGGGGGTGATGGGCGGTCGGGCTGGATGCGTGTTAACCTTCATTTGTTGGCAGATGCCACAGCCATTAACATAGCGAGCGACAAACTGGGCCATGCTCGGCCACCAGTAGTCACGGCGCAAGCCGAGGAGGGTTTTCTGAACACCGGGGTGTCCTGCGGAGGGGAGGTCGTGATAGTGGGAGACAAGGTGTTTGCGAAGAGACTCATCTGGGGGTACATAGACCCGATCCTGGTATAAGAGGAGGTCATCATCGATGGACCAGTCTGTTCCAGTGCGTGGTGTTCCTCCGGTGCGCGCCGCAGTGAGGCCTTCCTTCATTATTGGGTCGTCCTTGAAAGAAAGGATGGTGTCGCGGGTGTCGATGTCAATGGCAGCGACCCATACTTCTGGTGGGAGCATAACAACGTCGGTGTTGTCATTTGAGCCATCGTCATGGTCGGGTCGGCGGGAGAGAGCATCGCTCTGCACCATTTGGGTACCAGGAACGTGTACCAGGCGGAAGTCAAACTCGGTCAGTTTACTCGCCCAGCGTGCTTGTCGTCGGTTCATGTCTTTGGCTTGCTTCCAGTATGTGAGATTCTTGTGGTCGCTGAGAATTGTCACTGG